GGGCGTGGGTGTCAGACACCAGCAGAGTTGCCCAGAGAAGTTATGGAACCATCAGCCTTGGAAGCATTCAGTGCTGAGTTAGGACCCTGAGCAACCTGATTTAGCTTGGAGGTTGGACTGGGCTTTGCAGCTGGCCCAGTTTTGGGAAGGTGGCTGGACTGGATGACCTCCAGAGGTCCCTTCCTGCCCAAACTATTCTATGATATTGACATCTGCGCTGTTCTCTATTTGATGTGGGAGCGCTTGGAGACTGCAAACAAGATAATTAATTTTCTGGTTGCTTTGATCCATTAAAAATAGACTAAGGCCATGTCCCAGTAGAGGGGCCCTGCTGATTTTAACTCCTGTGGTAGGGATCTAGCTTCTTTTTACCTGAGACATTTAAGTTATGGGTTGTGTAGTTAATATAAATGATGGTATAATATATTTACCTTCCATTTGGGAACAGTTATAATAGCACTTTTTATATTATTATATTGTGCTTCATTAACATGCTACATTTAATAGCAGCATACAGCTTTAGTGTATAGACAAGGTCTGGAGATCTCAAGCTTACTTTAAAGGGGCCATCAGACAGCCATGAACTAGCAGCCATTACTCATGTTGTCCTGTGTTAGACATTATTAATTAATTAAATATTGCTTGTATTAAATATTCTGATTTTAACATCTAAAAATGTGAAATGATACATTTGCTTTGTTAAATGAAAAAATAGTAATAGTTGTAGTCGGGGAATTTTGGAGTGTGGCACTGTTCAGCAGACAACTTCATTGGACTGGGTTTTTTTTGTTTTGTTCTCCTAAGGTGTGCGGGATTTTTGTTCCAGAAAGTCGGAAAGCTTGCAGCAACTGCAGTAGGTGGTGGCTTTCTTCTGCTTCAAGTATGTAGCACTTCATGCTTTATAAGTTGGCAAATGTTATTTACTAAACAATAGGGAAAACACAGCTGTTGGGTAAAAATTAATTGGGAAGGCTTCTTACCTACTTCATCTTTTTAGTCATATCAGTCAAAAACTTACATTTCAGCTGGAACATTGTGTACAAAGGAGACATTTCTAAAAATCAGTGGTAAACCAGAGTCTGCTCTATCCTGTAAGATAGTTTGTGATAAGCCAAAAGAAACCTCTGTGCAGAAACTGAGATGCTGTATGTGATTCAGTATTGCCAGATTAGAGGAACTGCCTGTAAACCTATGGTTAGGGAGATCAAGGAGTTTAAGCTGTGTTTATTTTAAACAGGTTTGAGAATTTTATCAGTGCTTTAGAAGAAGTAGGCTTCTTTGGCAGTTGCTTGGAAGACTTGCTCTGGTCCCATTATGAAGCCATGTTTTTCTCTTTTTCTCCCCTTGCTGTATTTACTAGTTATATCTGTTGAACCTCTGAAGCTTTGCTGACTTCTGATAGCTTCCTTGCATTCTTCTGTTCAATTGCATTTCAACTCCAGAATTTTTTAATGATGTTATCTGGCTTGACCATTTGCATTATTCATCAGATATTGTGGTTAGGGGAGGACATACTTCCAAAAAGCCTTTAAATTAGATGATGAAGCTTTAAGTGAAGGAGAATTTCATGTATCCCTCTGTAAGATGCCAAGTTATTCTTAATTTTTTTACTGGCGTTTTTCATGTCTTAATACCTGTGAGCTTGTTATTTTTCCTCAAATCATTCTAGAGGAAATAGACTGGTGCCTACTTAGGTTCAATAATACACCATTTTTTGAGACAAGATGTTAAAGATTTTTATTTTTTTATTCTTTCCAACATCATCCTGGAGGATTTCTGAAAGGCATACCCCACTTTTAGTTATTCCTTTGATTGTAATGGCTGTTGCAGTCAACCATTGATAAGGAAGGCTTGGGTAGTACCTCTGAGTGCTGCTGTGTAATGCATAAAAATATCATGATTGTGTGAAGTAATCTTACTTCCTTCATGATTGTGTTCTCTACTGTTTTGGGGTTTGGTTTTGGTTTTTTTAAACCCCATGCTAAACATATAACTGAACTGCAGCACTCTATGTAAGAATGTGTGCTCCTGGAATTATTTGGTTTAAGGTGTTTTCAACAAATATGAAGTGTATTTTATTTTGAATTACTCAAAAGCAAGCATCATCAACAATGTAAAAAGTCAAAGAGAAACAGTATTGATATGAAGCTTTATAATGTTAGCATTCGTTCCACTTCACCATTGTGTATTGATGACTCTATAAATCTGGAAATCACTGGTTATTGGGCTTGTATGTGAACATAGGGATGAATTTTACAAGGGTGTTGAATCTGAAATGGTTTAGAATCATCTTGATGTAAATTTTTGGCAAAATGTGCTATGCCAGAAAATGAATCAATTTCATGGAGTACTCTGGACTTTTTAGCCCATGATGTGTATTTCTGGATCATGAGGGAAGAATTAAATCTTTTTATATATATATATATGCATGCAGTGGATCTTGAACTACTCATCATCCTTTTCATCTAGTTGACTTAAAGATCCAAATCTCTCTTCCCATGTTGTATGCCATTGGTCTTAATTCTTTTAATGACAAGTCTTATCTAGATATGACTGAAGAGCCTACAGAAAAGAGGCCTGGCATCCAGAGGTAGCTGGCAGAATGTTGCCTGTAGGTGCCTTCATTAGTATTTCTGACTAGTGCAAGCTGAAAAGTTAAAACTAAGACCTACAGACAAAGAAAAATAGAAATTGCTTAAAACACATTACTTGGGCAGTATTTTTGCTTGTTGAGCTGTGAAGTTTCGGGAGTTTCCTGTACATAAAATAGATTTGCCATGTGTTTGAGTGTCTGATTTCTTAGTTGATCTCATTTACAGTGTATCTGAAAAGGAATATTATCCAAGAGGAAGAATGAGTTGCATATTTTGATTGAGTTGTCTATATCTTTAATTAAGTAGGATCAGATTCTCCTGGAAGGGAATGAAGTAAATGCCTTGGTCTTTCATGTTAATGCAAAACGTTTTGCATTTTAAAGCTGAGTCATAAATTCTATAGTGTAATTACATTTTTGTAGTCTTTAATTTTTTCATTTAAAGATCACACATTGTGATTTTAATTTCCCTATGAATACATGTTCAGCGCTTCCCCTGAGTGGGCAGAGGAGCGTTTCAGCATGTGACTAGAAACTTCATTTTTATCTGTAAGTTTCTCTGAAGTTGCAGATTTCATTTCAACTGCCGATTGCAATGTTGACATTGTAATTACCTGCTAAAACAAGAAGAACTATAGAAGGCAAGATTTTTGGCTAAAGCGCATTCAGTGAAACATTTCAGTCCTGAAATTAAAAAAAAAAGCATTTTTTTTCTTCAGCGTGTGATGACTTCATCACAAGAAATTTAGTAGGAAACTGGAAGCAATACATTTTTGGGGTGTCAGTTTGTATAAGAAGCAAAAAAGATTTTTCAGATTTTTTTAAGTGATCTAGAAGTTTTTCAGTCTTAATACAGATTAAATTAAAAGTAGTCTGAGAGAGAATAAAAATGACATCAAGGAATTTGCATAGTTTTTCAAAATTAAGTTCTGTTATCACATCTTTGTGCTGGATATTTCAACAGCTTAATTTGATCAATTAACTATCATTTTTTATTGAAATAGATGTACTTCTTCAAATATGCTGGTATAAAACCAATACCCATGCACTGTATTAAGGAAAATATGATTCATTTCTCATAATGAGTAAGGGCTTTTCCCTGTATAACTTCTGGTTTATACAGCATAATTTAGTGAAATCCTGAAGAGTAGGGAAGTATGGATTCATGTGATTCTGCTATAATGAATTAGTTAAAACCAGTTGTTCTTAATGAGCACCTGTTCTCTGTGTGTTTTTAAACTCCTGTGTCCTTAATAAAGGTTTCATTGCTTTTTCCTCTGCAGTTGTTTTTGCATTATGTGTTGGCTTATTTAATCATAAAATTGTTTTTTTATTCAGTTATTTGTGCTTTCAATAATATATTTTGCTTCATTCCATTAATATGCTATTGACGAATTCAATTCTTCATTAAATTATTTTGTAACTTAAAAAAAGTCCTTGAAAACAACACAAGAAGCAAAATGAACTCTAAGATCTCCTTGGCTATATATTCTACAGGGGTTTGTTGATACATGCCATGATGATGTTGTAGCATCTCAGTGAAGTGGGGAGAGAAAAACATGCTTCTGAGGGTGGGGACTTAGAGAGTTGTATTCTGTTTTGCGTTGAAATATCCCACTTGACAGTTGATGTGTGCAGACTTTGAGGGAACATTCAGTGGAATAGCCAAAGCAAATGGTAGTTGGAAGTTAGCCTTTTAAAGAAATACCATATTTCTGGCAGGTTTTGACATGAAATGGAGAGGCATCGTTTCTCTGCCTTTGTAAATTGGAGTAGTTGCACTGGTTACAGTGGAGCTGTGCCAGTAGATGATGGCTGAAGATACAGTCTTTGCAGTTTAACTCTTACAAAAAATGTACCATTTCTCAGTCCCTCCTTGTCTTTGTATATTGAAGTTAGAGACTTGCCAGATCTGTTCTGGAAACTGGTTGAGTGTGACGGGGGTTGCTACCTATCGAAATACCAGAAAATACCTGGCTTCTGTGTGCTGCACAAGCAGCTGAGCACAGGGAGCTCACATGTACCTTCTGGGCTTGGTTGGGCTTTTTTAGTATGAGAGATTCTGTCTCTGAGGAAATAAAAACTCTTTTGTCCCATCTTGCCATAAAAATGTTTCAGAGCCAAAAATTTATTACTCATTACTCTTAATAATGTTTCACAATAACGAAGTACTTGCATGCCTCTCCAGTACCAGCCCCAAAAATGAGGTCTTCCCTTTTAGATTCTGTTTTCTATGATTAGCATAGAGAAAGATGCATGTATTTTTAGTATTTCTGCATTCATGTATTTTTGCAATTGCCTTTTTGGAAAAAATCCATTATTTTTTTCAACAGTTCTGGAAGATCTTGAACAAAAATAAATTTTACTAATGTGATATATGAGAGAGAGATATTATTCCATTCTCATCTATACATATATAGATTTCTGTGCATACAGAAATCTACACACACCCACCCCCATACTTCTCTTCAAGAAAATATATTATGTATAGAATATGTATATATGTATGACTCCTTAATATATATAAGTATGGAACTGATAATGGATTATTATGATTTTAATTTGTTATTGTAGGGGCTGGCTTTAAAAATACTAGTGAACTTTTAAGAATTTGTCTTTATGTACATTTACTGTTGTGAGCGAATATGTTCTTTATGAAGTATTAGGGTCTAAAAATTGAAGTCTGTCTCACCAACATTTGAGTTCAGTGGGATTATTTCTGCGCTTACGAAGTTATGTAATTAGTAGGATTGCAGCCAAAGTAGATATGACACAGGCTCTGACTATTACTGCAGTGAAGTACAATTTTTTTTCTTCTCAGTTATAAATTTTATATTCAAAACATTGTCTTCTGTTGCTTATTTCCTAGATGTGTACAAACACTCAAAAGCAGAACTTAAGATCTCTGCTACTAAGTTCAGGGAGAAAAGTGGTATAATTTTTATTGTTTGAACTGGAGTTCTGATACAAATGTAGGTTGTAACTACTGGAGAGCTAATCAGAACTTAATTAAAAACTTCTGCTTCATCTTGGTACTGTATGGATAACTGAGCTAATTAAACTAGTCTTAATGATGTGTTTCTTTTAAAGTCCATTGCTTATATTTTTTACAAGCAAGCAAATATATTAGCATTTCTTACATTGTGTTGGACTGGGTAGATCAGTCCATATTTAGTTTTCAGTTTTATGAGTTAGAAGGCACAAATTCAGTGCTTGGGCCTTTTTGAAATTCTTGTAGTAATGTTAAATTCATAAAATAAAAATTACCCCAATGTGAAACATTTCTGTCCCCCCGCCGGTATGTTGTTCAGTGACTAGATGTGCAACCATTACAGGTTTAAAACTGGTTTCATGTTTTCATACTGTATAGACAGTCTTTAATTAGCTGTCCCTGCCTAACACTAGTGCTTGTATAGATAAATGGTTTTACAATAGACAGGCAAGGTCAATGAATTTGTTATATTCTGAAGTATGAAGTAAAGGAGATTGTAATATTTAATAAGTTCATTTTGCATTTTTCCAGTGAATTGTTTTTTTACATCTTGTGCAAAGATGGAAACTGAAGTTTACTTTCTTACACAGGTGGTCTTTTAGAAGCTTCGCTTTGAATTCAGACAACATCTGTCTGATGTTTCATTTTAGTTTTTTTCAGGATCTTGAAATTCTAATTTGTGGTGAAGTATGTTGGTTAATTATTGTGGCTGTTGTAAAACACGCTAGATGGTCTAATTCTAGTTATTTGGTAGAAAGAACTATGGGAAAGTCGAAATTCAGTGCCTATAAGCAATGTGAAACATTTCATGCCAAACCTAATGAATTGTATATTTAAATATCTGTTCCACACAAGTTCATTATCTGTGACTTTTATTTACCAATTGTACATTTGCATAGAACACTGTTACATAAGTTACATGAATTTGACAAACATGACCTGAGAAATCTCACTTTATGAAAAGTTTTTTGTATAACAGTCATTTACCTGTAAAGTTAGTGGTCTGTATCTGTCTTGGCAGTTAAAATAAACAGTAATCCTTAGGTTTGATTTTTTTTTTTTCCCTCTCTTCCCCCCGCCCCAACTAATGAGTTGTTTGTTTTAACTATTCTCTAGAGCATGCAGCAATTGCCTTTTTTTTTTTAAGCTATGATTTTTATAAACATTTAAATATGTGTTTCTTTTGTGAATCGTCTTAAGGAAATTGGTGGGACTGTCAGATGCTCTGTTACTTGACCAACATTTTTTCCAGGATCAAATCTTAGTAAGAGAAATAAGGCAAAGGGTTGGCATGATGGTTAAAACATGCTAAAAATCTCATGGATGTTGTTTAAGCATTTTGGGAGTTTGAGTATAAATTGGTATTAACGGTCCCCCAAAACAGCCATTTTGCAGATGCTACAGAACTTGTGCTGTACACAGGCCATGTTATTTTTCTTTTTACTGGCTTTGTTTTGTAGAAAGTATGAGAATTCTCTTGTATTGAATACATTTTTTGTTGGACAGTTTAAATGATGTAGGATAAAGTAATGGTTTTCAGTATTTCTAAGGTTGATTCTCATTAGCCCCAGATATACCCTGTCACAAATCAGAATTCCACAGTTCTGAAAGAAGCTGAAATTAAACATTTTTTTCACTGTTGTCCTCTGAATATGCGTTTCTCTTTCCTTTTCTAATAAGTAAAGTTACAGTAAATGCTGAAGGAGAAACATTGCTATTTAGTTATAAAAGCTTTAAAGAATAGAGAACTGGTAAAATTAACAAGACTCTACTGAACTTTGCCATTGCTTGTTCTAATTTGAACTGCTGTTACAGCGGAAAATATTGGTGTTTGAAGCAGAGTACCTGTGGTAATTGGAACAATGTCTTTTCCTGTATCTGTAATAGAAAAAAATAATTAACTCCTCCCCACTTTGTAGGCACTAAGATACTGTATTTTGACTCATCAAATGTTAATTACAACTGTACTAAATACCCTTTATTTTTCTAGATTGCTAGTCATAGTGGGTATGTACAAGTTGACTGGAAGAGAGTTGAAAAAGATGTAAACAAAGCAAAAAAACAGTTAAAAAAGCGTGCAAATAAGGCAGCACCTGAAATCAATACTCTAATCGAAGAGGTAAGTCTAAGGTGATAAACTGCTTTCTACCAGCCAGTTTTTCTTACCTTCTGCTGCAGGTGATGATTAGTTGAAAATGCAGGTGCAAAACTGGAAGGCATCAGAAATGGTCTGGCTGTATATTTTAATAAAAGTTATCAGATTGTACTCTCTTTTATTCATTTAGCTTTCTATTTTGTTCACTCTTAAAGATGACACACAAATTTCAAAATTAATGCATTTCTACAGCCGATACAGCTGAGGGACTGCCATTGGCTTTGCCATTTAGTCTGTGCAGATTCTTGGCTAGTGAGAAGAGCCAGTAAGGTCACCACACAGTAAAACGTTGAGGGTGTTGTGGTTAAAACATAGTAGCTACAAAGACAAAAACCAAATCTTAGACTGCTGATAACAAAATTACTTGGAAAAGACTGACCTTTCTTTCTGGAGAAAAGCTATAACTACTTTGTAACTACAGTTGTGGGGTTTTTTTATCTCATTTTTATACAGTTAGAAGAATATCTGTCTTCAGAATCTGTCAGTTACATACTATGTTGAAAAGAGGTAGCCTATGATACTGATCAGTGTCACTGGGGCTATTTCATTCTGTCATTTGAAGACTTTAATTTTTCATTTTTTTAAAGTATGTTTAGCCTGGTTTTACGTATTTTCACATTTCATACAGGTGATCTAAGTTTCTTTCTCAATAACTGTTAATCCTGACTTGGAATACGCTGCAGACAATGTAACAGCAGCCACAGTAGCGCTCTGTAATTAAGAGTTTTGACATCTCATATTTAACCTGTATGGAGTTGCACGCAGGTTGATAAAAATTACCTTAAATTTTAATGTGAATGTGAAGTGGAAGTTCAAGAGAGATGGTTTTCTAGCTTCCTTTCTACCTCCAATAGCTTAACCTGTCCTTCTTCATCACTCTGCAGAAATGGGTGGGACAGGATGGGGGTTTTTTGTTTGGTTTTTTTCCTCTCAGATTATATTACTGTCTTCTAATTGTGTACTGGTAGCCAGTCTGAAGTGTTTGAAGCGGAGGATTTATGAAATGGCACGTTTGATATAACGTGTTATACTGTGCTATTACTTCATGAAGTATTGTACAGAAATGTTGTCATACATAAGTGTTTTTTATAGGCTTAAGTTGTTAGGAAACTGGTTCATAATGCAGTGAAGTGTATTTCTTTTCCAATGATCTAGTCTTCCAAAAAAGAGTTTTGTGTGGGGTTTTTTTTCTAATCTTTTCTCGTGTGATTAAAATTGAAGTCATGGTGGTGCGCATGCTTTTTTGCCAAGGGAGCTTGTAAAACATCTGTCTTGTTTTGATTAAAACAAGAGTGGTATTGGCATGAAATTGCTATGACAATTCTTCTGTATTTTGACTTCTAAAATGCTAACTGTATTTTAAATATATTGTTAAAGACAGCTGAGAGTCAGTGCCAGCAGTTGCCACCTAGCTTTATAAGTTTTTAAACGCGTTGCTTCCCCCTGTGCCCCCCTCCATACTTTTAGTTTTCGTGATAAGTATTAAATGCTACTATCAATTAACAATAACTCAGTTCTTTACGAATACTATTTTTCTTCTCAGTCAACAGAATTTATCAAACAGAACATCGTGGTGTCCAGTGGGTTTGTTGGAGGCTTTTTGTTAGGCCTGGCATCGTAAGGACCTGAATCGTCTCTTCCTGATGGCATTCATGTCGGCAAGGAACAGTTGTGGTGACACGCTGTCTTAAAGCAGTGTGGGTCACTGGACCTTCCAGAGCAAGACGAGTGGACTAGCTAGACAACTTGGAAGCTTTTACATTTCAGGCTTGTGCCTCTTGAAGCTTGGCAGAACTAGGATTTGCTGAAAAACTGTGCAGTGTGCTCATTATAGCATTTCTGGGCAAAACTGGTTCATCTTCATCATGACTCTTTTTATCTATGACCTTTCAAGATCTAGCATTTTTTAAAATGTTATTCTTGGAATATAGATATGTAACCATACTGTAAGAAAGCAAGTTCCATTTCTATGTTTTCAGTTAAATATCGTTTATTTTAAAAGTATTTTTTCTTCATGCTGTAGTAGACAGTATCAATGACTACATAATGTATATGATATTGTAGTTTCAGCCTCATGGCTGTCCATGTTCTTTAGAAGTCACTGCAATAATCTATCAATCTGTAATACCTTTTTACAGAGTATTAAATAACAAAGAATCATGAGCTTATTAAAGGTGAAAATTGACTTTGACTCTGGCCTTTGTGTACATAGAAAATAAGAAAGTCTCATGTTTATAGCCTGCAGGCATCTGGTACAAATATTTGCAGGGATACTTGTGATATTTTTGTGCTAAGTAAATGTATATATGTTATTTTTCCCAGATGCGTAAACATGTGTAAACTCATTGATAAAACTGTAATACACAGATAATCATTGCAAGTGCAGACTCTGCAGTGATCTGATGGTTAAATTGTTTTGCACTCAGTAAACCACGGAGGTCATTTTCAGACGTCAGTAGTTGGTAAGATGAAGAGATGAGGCTTCTGCCTGAGCACTCTGCAAGGGTTAGTACTTTGTAGGGCTTGGTAGGATGTCACTGCAGTGTGTGCCCGGAGTGAACTGAAGGCTGCTCTTGCAGTTCATTTTAGCTGGAAATGATACTCACTTTCACATTCACCTCTATTGCCACTATGTTCTCCCCAACTTAGACATAATTTTTTTTTTTTTTACAGTTGTCACTTAATTTGACTTTCACTGTCTAGGGTGTCAGCTATGGAAAAACGAGGGTACAGATTGGCTTCAGTTAGCTTATTGGAAAAGTGCCTGTTTCTTCTGAAGTCTGGGAAAGCAAATGGGACTTAATCTGCTTGGATGTGTTTGCTGCCTCCGCCTTTGATGGATCAAAGCAGGGAGCAGATTCTAAAGGAGATGGAGGCATAACTGTAGATGGGCTGGAAAATTTATTCTCAAGTAGGTTTTTAAGGTAGTTTGGGGAATTTGTTACTAGGTTATTCTAAAGAAGTTGAGAATCCAAACAAATGCTTAATGCATTTTTCTGCATTTCAAACTTGTGAACCTTTTAGAAATTTCTACCAGAGAAGGACTGTTTGCTCTGCCCTGATTTCTCTGTTTTTTACTGTACCAGCAAGTTAATGTGAAATGGAGTCTCTGTCACGTGGGTTCTGTTGGATTCTTGTTCACACGTCTGAACAGCATTGGCATTGGATGGATGTGAACTTTGGATGTACAGGACATGGGATGAACATCCATCAGCTGGGCTGTATGTGAAAGGTGTTTGACATAGTAACCTAGTATATATTTAGGTTAGTGCATTTGTGGACTTCAGAGGTCTGTATTATATGTCGACTTCATATACATGTGCTTCTGGCCAGGGTGAGTTGTAAAGCACGTCATGCATATCTGTGAGGTTTAAGGGTTTAGTTAAGCTAAAGCCTGTTTAAGACTGTTGAAAATAAAACTTCACCCTCCACCCCACCCCCAACCAAACCCCTAAAAACAAGGAACACAAATGGCCACAAATAACATGTTAGCATCCTAAATATTTTGTTTTTAAGGTGAGTATGTAAAGCTATGTCAACACAACTGTTTCAGTTTATTGGAAGTGCGGAGCCCAAGGAGGAATGTGCGTGCTGGGTCATGTGGGATTAAAGAAAAATTAAGAAAGATGGAAGTGTTAAAATGTGAAAGTTTCTTTGCCTTAGTGTTCAGTCCAAAGGATAACGGGAAGGTAATCAGTCAGCTCTTTCCTGCTGATGAAGCTAATGGATTTTTGCCATGTCAAAAGAGTTGCTGAAGCTAACTGATGTGAGTCACCCACCCTGACTGGATAAACTCGGGTGTTCTGAAAGGCTTCAGGAATCAAGTGACCACCTCGGTAGCATGAACCTGTGAACTTGCATTTTTAAAAAGAGTCTACTCTGTGAAAGGATTTCAAGGGATGAGCATCTTTTAGTATGCTTGCTAAAAAGTCTGCTTATGTGACCAAAAGATATACTTAATAGTTAAAAGCAGAAATTAAAAAACCCAAAACAAAACACCCAGCTTATATACTAGTACACAAGACTGATTTCTGTGGAGGAAAGTTGTTCTGCTATTCTGTTGCCATTATCTGAGATTCTCAGTAAGGCAATGAATAAAGAACTGAATTAAATATATTTGGGGGTTTTATTTTATTTTTTGAAGCCTTTGGAATAAGTAGCATGTTTTAGTAGATGTAAAACTGTCTGAGGGACCAAGAGATAAGGAGAAATGGTATCACTGGAAAGGTGAACGCTGGTGGTTTGTCTTAGGATTGGCTTTCCATAATGCATTCATGACTTGAGAAGAAGGATGACTGCTCGCACAGCAATGCTTGCTAAGTTCACTGATGCAGTTCCTTAGGTTGGTGAGGTAGAGGGGATGCTGCCAGGAACTACAGCTAGAACTGACAGGGTGAGATGATGATGGAGTGGCAGACTTTGATAAACATAGAGTACTGAGACAAATAAATGCAGCTTTTCCTGCAAATACCTGAGATTTTATGTGTTAGCTCAGAACACTGTCTTGTATATCACTGTACATAAGGGAATGCTCTGTAAAGTCACAGTCGGAAAAATGAGTGTTGATGGGATTACTGAGAATGGAATGGAGCATAGCAGAAATACTGTTTCTGGTGGTAAGTTCTTCTCTGGAATGATTTCAAAGTTTGTTATCCTCTCCGACAAAAACTAATGCAGGCTAAGAAGATGCAGAGAAGGGTGAAATAAAAGACTAGAGAAATTTTTTTTTAAGAGCTTTTTTTTTTTTTTTGAGAAAAAAAATCCATTTTAGAAAGCAGTTGATTAAGAAGGAAGGTGTTAGAAATGTTTAAATTAATGAAAGGCTGAGTCAGCATTTCTATGCTTTTTACTGTATAGTTGAAGAACTTAACTGAAAGGTGGAAAACATGAGCCTACCACAGGGAAATAGATTTTCACATAAGGTATAATTGGTCCGTGGAACTCATTTCCACTGCCTGCTGCTGAAACCAATGAACAGGCTCTAGACAGGAATGATTGGCTTAAAGAGCTGTTTTTCCCTTGTCTGATTGGGAAGCAGGTGTGATGCAATGTGGTGATGTCCCAGTACTGGGACAAATGGAAAAGTCGCTGTTTGTTATTTTGGGGCAATTTAGGAAGTGGGTGGTGGGTTCTTAACTACTGAGACATCCATCAGGACCTGTGAGACTGGAAGACAGTTTTAATTAAGGTAATTGTGGGGTGGGTTGGCACAAAGCATCCGGTGCTGATCCAGCACAGCCTGAAACCTCAATCAGGTTTGGTCCCACATGCGAGCTAAGAGGTCATTGAAATCTTGGAGCGCCGAGGAACACAGTGCAGGGACTTAACGTGGGCTTTTGTGCTCGCACACTGGACTGGAAACAGCGTGGCTAACCCTAGTGCAGGTGGTGCTGTGCTTTAACTAAGAAACCTTGCTGCACCCAAGCTGGCTCTACTTTATAGCTTGGGTAAACCACTACAGCGTTAACAGATTGGACTAGTTCATGGGTTCAGCACCCAAAGGTCCTCTGCCTCCATCTCCCTTGTCTTGTCCCCTGACCTCTGCCTCCCCAGTTTCTCAGAGCTCTGCGTGTTCTTACCTCCCTGCTTTTGTTTTGCCCATCTTTTTTTCACAGCTACGTAGAATAGAGCACCACAGCATACACTATTGCTGATCTCTGAAAAAGAGGAAATGCAGTGCTTGAAAATGGGGTGAAGTTGGGGAATAAATCCTATGAGCCAATTCAGCTGTTGGACTATCTGTTAGCTAATGCGTCTAGAGAGCTCAAGGAAGCTGGAGACCACATTCAGTTACCTCTTCCTGGGAAACCTCTCCTGCTTCCTAGACCAGCACCCTACCTACCAAACCATAAGGTATTTTGGCATGAGATACCCTTGGTCTCTCCAGCCGACATGTTCTGTTGTGTGGATGTGTCTCAGCAGTCATGGGAGTGAGGACAGAAACTTGGGTGTCATCTCCTCAAAGTCTACCTTAAAACATTGCTAAATAGTTAAATATGCTGCTTGAAGGGGAAAGGAAGGGGAGGAGGGAAGGGAGGGAGGTTACAGCCAGGGTATTTTGCTGCCTGTTTGGTAGGATGCTTATCTGAGAACTGGAATATATTGTTGCACATCTCATCCTTGATACAAGAGTTTTTGGCTTCACCGTCAAACCCCCACAAAATCAACTGCTCACAGCCTTAAGCTGTAAAAAAACATTTCTGCATATGGGCACTGTATGTTTTAAAAATACTTAATAGAAAATGTTAATGTCCACAATGGAAATTAATGAGTATTGAACCATACAATTCCCATTTAACATAGATGCTTTGAACTTTCATCACAACAAGAGGCTATCTACATACGCTTGCCAATATGCACTCATGGGACCTAGAGAATTAAGAGCCAACATATCTAGTATGATTTTTAATTAAACAGCTTACTTCCTTGAAGTATTAATTGTGAAGTAAAGGTTATGCTGTTTCTTCGTGTGTTTAATAGACAACAAACTCATACTGCCGCCAAACATACAGATTTTTATTTTCAGATTTCAAATCCTCTCCAGTGAGACAATTGAAATGCCTTGATAGCTAGATGTTGTTCAGATAGGAATCGGCCCAAATACATCTGAACAAATCTGTAAATGTAAGAAAAACCTGCAGATGTATGAAAGGAATGTATGAAAATCAAGCGTTGCCAAATATTGTTTCAGAATCCACTTGAGACAATAAGGAGGAGGAATGAAAATTAACAGCAATAAGGGAGTCTATATTTTAATGGTCCTGTAACAGTGTATGTTTGTTAAAAAAATATTGAGAAATTGCCTTTTGAAACATTGATAATATATTTTTTTTCCTGTTTCTATGGCATCAAAGATGATACTTAATTTCCAAACTTAAAAGCTTCTTGTGCCAGCTAAATTGCATGCTGGCTCCTGTAGGAGCTTTGTTTTGAGGCTGCTTGTGCAGGTAAAGCTAAGCATATGCTTCAATGACTAACCGGTTTGTATATGAAAGCAAAGGCAGAACAAACATTGGAAGTGATACACATATTTTTTCTCTTTTCATGTTGTTACAGGAATCTAATTAGGCTTTGAGACCCTCGGGTAGTCTGCAGAGAATCAGAAAACCATGGACTGCGCAATGTATAGGAGTTGAAGGTGAGGCACAAGAAGTGGAATTTGTCTGAATATGGGTGTCGAGCTAGGTACCCTATGGCCTGCTTATATAAACGAAAGGAAGCGGGCATTTCTGTGGCAAATTTACCTTATTCTAAAACTGACATCTGCAGTGGCTCAGATGAATCTGACCTAGAAGGACCCACTTTTCCTCGCTGTTTCTAAAGGCAGCCCAGGCCACGACTTGCTCACCTGTAGGTACTGAAGGTTGGGTGAGATGAATTCCATGAAACACGTTTGAACTGCCAAGGGCATGAAGGATGAGAAGGTGATTTGCCAAGGGCAAATCATGCTTGCCTGGCCCGTTTTCCTTCTCTGATGAAATGACTGGCTACACAGAGAAGGGAAGGTTGGTGGAGTGGGCTCTTACATGGGCTGAAAACTGCCTGCACTGCCAGGCCCCAAGGGCAGCGATCAACGTCTTGGTGTCCAGCTGGCAGTGGTAACGAGCACCAGGGGCTGCTGCTGCACGAATATTGTTCAATATCTTCATCAAAGACCTGTGTGATGGGCCAGAGTGTAGCCCCTTAACAAATCTGTGGGTGACACCAAATCAGGAGAGGCGTTTGGCACACTGAAGCGTAGAGCTTCGATTCAAAGGCAAAGCTGGGGAAGTTGAACATTATACAAAGAGCAATCTCGCAGAGTTCAGGAAGAAAACGCAGAAAGTCCGGTGCCTGGGGCATCTTAACCCCATAGACAGGCACTGGCTGAGTAGCAGCTATGCTGGAAAGGGCATGGAGGCTATGGTGGACCTCAAATTGAATTTGAATCAACCCTGCACTTTCACTGCAAATGAAGGAAACCACATACTGAGGTAGCTTAGGAGGAGCATGGTTAGCAGTTATGGGAAGTTGTGACCTGCCCGTCTGTAGTTAACCACTTTTGGGCCCTCCAGTTCAAGAGGGACGTGGAGAAATAGGAAAGGGTCCAGAGAAAAACACCTCAGCTGATTAGGGGCCTAAAGTGTAGGACCTACAAGGGGACCTGAGGTTGTTCAGCCTGGGGAAGAGGAGGCTGAGGGGCAATCTAAGGCAACCTACAACTACTTGAAGAGGAGTTACAAAGATGATGGAGCCAAACCCTCCTCAACAAGGGGCAGCAGCCACAAGCTGTGGCTTGGGAAGGTCACGCTGGACATTAGGAAAAGCTCTTCCACCAGGAGGGTGGTGCAGCATTGGGACGACTTGTCCCAGGGGTGGTGTGGGTTCTTCCTCCTCCAGGGGTTACAAGATTTGGCTGAACAAAGCCACAGTTGACCCGATCCAGTGTTGATGACCAACCATCCTGCTGTGAGCAGAAGGCTCCAGTGGTCCCATCAAGCAGCCCATCTATGGGACTGTGAAAGTAGGTGTTACCCCCCTCGGTCTTTCTCCTGGGTTTAGCCTTGTGTTCCTGCACATCTGAACATACATCATAAATGGTCTTCTACGGCCCATCTCTTCTTACTATTCATACCAAGCAGGTAAAATAGATGCTGAGGGTACGTGGTACCGCAATTAATTCCAGCTTTTTGCTTAAAAAAAAAAAAAAAAGGAAATTTATTTATTATATCAGCATTGGAAAGGTTAGAGACCTGCCAAATGTTTTTGTGATACTAGATTTTCTTCTAGAAAATTAAGATCCTCTGGTAGGTGACATACAGGAATTTGTGTATGTGTGTGATTTGCTTGGAGCTGTTGCAGCAAATTCTCAAATATGGAACAGCCAGAAAAACACTTTTTTTTTTTTTTAATAGGCACTCCTACACTAATTTAAAAATAGTAAACTGGAGCAAGGTAAGTATCACAGAGTGATGTGAAAAAGTACATTGATAGAAAATAAGGAATAGAATATGTGATGAAGATTGACATCG